ATGGTCATTTGTGCCATGGGAATGGTTATTTGCGCCATAGATATGGTCATTTGTGCCAAGCCCTTGTTACAGACAGACAGACACAGGTGAATTACGGTTTCTAGACCCTAGCCTTTCAGTCTAGGGAATGGTTATTTATGTTGTTTTTTTCTTCTACTCATAATTACATATGCTTTTGTGGCGTAATAAATAAACAAGTATTTGAAAGTTGACGAATATATTTGTGAGATACTACAAAAACCGAATATGCTCACCTCTAACTTGAAAGTAACAATTCCACTTTAAGAAGCATCAGTTTTTGTCATGGAAATAGACACTTAAAAAAATGGAGCCCAATAGATTTTAAATTGCCCAATATTGCCCATCCTTAAAAACAATCTATCAGGAAATGGTCCATGACTCAAAAATTCCTGGCTACGCCACTGATTATTATAATAATTATTATTATTACTATCAATACTGTAATATGATAAAGATGATGATGATGATGACGACGGTAGTTCTCGTTTATAACGATCGTTATTCAATGTTTGATCTATTTGTTCTTTATCTCCGATGAATTGATCTTGATATTTCTTTAAGTATTTAATCGTTATCGAGACAAGAAATTGATGAAGATATATTATTGTCGTCGTTCTTATTAACCTTGATTTTTATTGTTCGAGCGAACATTTGCTGAAAACAATTAGATTCTGCTCCGTTAGGAATAACATCATTATCGTTTGGTGTAAAATCTTGCGTGCTGACATAAGGTGTTGATATAGTTCGTGCTTCAAATTCTTTGATTAATTGTGAAACGAATGGAATAGTTAATGTATCTATTGAACATGATAATAATGATGATGAGATATTCATTATATTATTATATGTTGCATGTCATTGTGTTTTCATACGATCTATTGCTTCAGTTAAATCTTGTTGATTAACACAAAAACGTTGTTGTTGTTGTTGTTTTATTCTTTATTGTTCCATGTTTTTCTATTATTTAAATTTCAAATTTCAACGAACACATATGTATTTAGATATATATATGCTTATACTTTTGATTACATGATCAATACGAACTAATTTTTTTTTGTTTTCTTTCATCATTAAAACAATCGACTTGCTAAAACTTCCATAAAGAGAATAATAAATACGAAAAAGAAATTTGATATGATAACAGATCGATGCTACTGTATAATGGTGAAACAAACAATTGATCATCGATCGTACACTAATGTATGAAACATAAGTTTGTTATAGATCTTTTGATTCAAAGGTCGACTGTCTTAACATATTAACTCTTTCCAAATAATATTTCATATTATCGATAAAATATTCACTTATTGACATATAGTCAAGAATAAACAACATAAAAATGATTTCTATATATTTAATTTCTTTAGGAAACAATAATAGCGTGACAAAGAATTCAAACCTACCTATGAAGAATTCTTTCAATAAGTCAGTTATACCTAGAGAACAAAACAAAAACTAAAATATTTTACAAGTTGCTTATTTTAGTTTCCAACAAACCTTCGTTGAATAAAAAGAGAAAATATATCACGATTGAAATAAAAAAAAACAAATAATTGTTTCTGATCATCATCTTATTTAAAGTTTATTTCGTTTGTTTTGATTGATCATCTATGATTATATCTGTTGTAAATATATTTGGAATTGAATTACCAAAATAAATTTTTGTATTTTGTGCTAATGCTTGATACATTGACCATTGAAGATATTCTGGTGTTAATTTTATTTTATTTGATTCAGCTTCTGTATCACTTTTATATATATTTGCATCAGCTAATGCACGTTCTTTAGCTAAATGCATTTCAGCTTCAATTTCAGCAATACGTTTTTCAGCTTCTTTGCCTAGAATTTTTTGTTTATATTGAATTTTAGCTATTTGTGATAATTTTTCAGCTTCAATAACGGCACGACGACAATCAGTTTCTGCTTCTTTTTCAACAACTTGTTGATGAGCACTTGTTATCATATATCTATTTTAAAGAAGAAGAGGTTATAAGGTTGTAAATCAACTCATAGAACTTTTTTCACTGAACTCTTTATTATCTTATATCAAATGAATTTGTTACTGCAACGAGTAGATCATATAGTCTTCTCACATTGCTATAAACGATTGTTAGATATGTTCAGTGTGCATGTTCAACGACAAGAGCAAACATCACAAAGTTTTTTTTTACCAATAAGAGCTCTTTACATTAGCTAAAAAATTCATACATGAAATTTCAAATATTGACGGGGAAAGACATCTCAAAAGAGGCACAGACTACCAACAAAGCATCGATCAGTAATATGTCGAGTATTTGTCACTCAAAATAAAAAATCTAACATTAAAATTGTGTTCAACAAAAAAAACTAAGTCGATCTATGTATGTTTCAAATTCGTATGGCAACTTTTATTTTCGTTGAAAAGTTCTATTCGGGTTCTCTTTAGGGATATGTCAAAAAATAAGATCATCGAAAATCTCGTTTTTATTAGTTAGGCATATTTCCTTATGAGCTTAATGATGATTTTGATGTTAGATTTTTTCATTTTGGGTGACAAATACTTGACATATTATTGATCGATGCTTTGATAGCAGTCTGCGCCTCTTTAAGATGTTTTCCTTCATCGATATTTGAAGTTTCATTTATGGATTTTTTTTACTAATGTAAAGAGCTCTTATTGGTAAAAAAATCTTGTGATGTTTGCTCTTGTCGTTGAAGATGTACATTGAACGTGTCTAATAGTCTAATGACGGTTTTCGAAGGTCGTATTTCGGCTATGAAGTCAGAAGAACTAAAGCAAAATACCTTACTGTGTTTTTTCTTGTTCTACTGTTTCAAAATTTCGACGAATAGCTTCGGGAATTTTTGGTTTTGTTACTTTAAATTAAAATATTTTTCATTTTGTTGTTTATATCAATATGATTTTACCTCGAACTGAACTAATATAAAGTCCAAGTGCTAAAATATTTAAATCATTTTGTATTGTTCGTTTAAGATGATCATTAATACCGGAAAATAAATCAATATAAACTTCTTGAAGTGTATGTACTGAACAAAATTGATTAACTTCATGATGAATTTTATCAAATATTAATGTTCGATCATAATTAACAGTATAATTTCGTACAATATCAATAACAGCATCACGACTTAAAATATTAACAACTTCAATTTTATCAAAATAAATCATGGTTCCGCCACTCGTTCCACAAGGAATATTTTCCACTAAAGAAAAATTCATTGAAATTTGCTTGGAAAATAAATATATACATTACCTTCATCGGTTTGTAAAGTTGTTTGAACAATTTTTACTGTTGTAAGAAAAGGTGACATAACATGATAACCAGGTGCAGTCATGGATGTCAGAAGAGCACCTCCTCTAGAATATAAAAAGAGAAGTATTTTAAATAGAAAATATTGAATTTTATTTACCTGTAATATATTCCAACATGTCCTTCAGGAATTTGATGAATACCTAAAGCAATAATTGCGATAGCAATACCCACAGCAACTAACCATTTGAGAACCATTACTAAGGAATAGATTATAGTGAAATTATTAAACAAAAAAGAAAAAGAACAAGTACACAGTGATGATGATTCATCATTGTTCGTGGATCAATAGAATAAATCATATTTTTCTTTTCCATGAATATTATTCACTTAGAATTTGTTTTTTATAATGATGTTTTTCAAATTCTTTTTCTTTTATTTTGATTAATTCTTGATTAAGTGATGAAAAAGAAAAAAATGACACCAATGCCATCTGTCGGAACTATTTATTATTATTTCATTTAATAATTCTCAATATCAATTTAAAAATAAAAAAGATTCTTAACATTCAGACTCTCTTTTTGTGTACTCAAAACGTGAGTACACTACTAAAATCGGTCAGTGTGTCCGTCCGTCCGTTTATCCGATAACTTTCGAAAGGGGAGTCCGATCGCGATGAAATTTTCTACACAGTTCAGTCTTAACAATATCTCGGTCGAGTTCGAAGATGAGAAGGATTGGCCGAGCCGTTCCTGAGTTATTGCAAAAATACTCATTTTTCCCTGCACCTTCCCTATGGAAAGATCGACCCATCCCCACTTTCGTAAAAGACTTTTCCTATCATAGTCAACTAAAACCCCAACTATTATATACCATTCGATAGAGAATTTCACGAGCTACAAAATGGTATATAAAACATAAAGAAACAAGAAGGTTGGCTCATCTATCACAAAGATAATTAAAGAGAACTAGGTTAGATTTTTGTCCACGATCTAATTGATCCACAAATAGAGCTCTATCTTCCGATCACAGTGATCATACTTCGAGGTTTTCTGAGATGGAGAACTCGAATCTGTACTCCACTTCCATCGAAATACTATTGGTTGAGCAGTAACCAATAGAAATCAAGTTATAGGAAAAACGACTTTCTTAGGGTAAATCAAGGGGAAGAGTTCAAATTTGAGCTGTATTCGGTCCCAAGTCCTATTGGTTTGGCAATACTCAATAGAAATCAACAGTTTAGAGGGTAGGTTCCCCAGTATAATTTTGATGTCCACACGTTCTAGAACGACTCATCTGTCTCATTCACTTTTTGAAGTACACATAACTCTCGGATTTAAATCCGAAGTTTCCGCATTTATTTCATATTATTTCTCTTCTATTAATATCGTATTCAAGAGAGGATTAGGTCCATTCTTGTATCAGATGCTGATGAATACTGAGGAAGTATTAAAAAAATCAACCTAAAACGTCTACAAAACTGAAATCCAACGATTATAAAATATGAAAGAACATTTTATTCTTTTCATATGCACGATTGAGTGTTTATAACATGAAGGGTAAACATGGTTCTCAATAATTTGGCGAGTTCACCGGGAATTTGATTTTGCGACAAATTCAGAAATAAAGAAACGTCTGCAAAAAACACATCGAAGACATAAGAGATAGAAACAGTATAGCAGTATAGTGGTATTGCGATATTCTACTGTACCACCATACCACTTGTCGCTATACCATTTCTATCTTTTACGTCTTCGATGTATTTTTTATCGACACTTCTTTTGTTCTGAATTTGTCATAAAATCAAATTCCTCATCAACTCTCGAGGCCCGTAATGGTTTACTGGACTCAGAAACATCAATACTATCTTCCGCATCCTCACAATTTTCAAACTTTAGTTGAATAGGATTCGAATGCAGCAAATTGAATGAAAGGAAGAATCTTTATTTTTCTTATTGTTTATTTAATAGATGTAGTTGCAAGAGCTATCAACGCGAGCAGCGAACAATTAAAACTTTGTATTTGTTTTTCTTGCAAAATGATATGAAGTGCATGTTTCTTGTTGAATTCTGTAGAATGAATTTTCACAGAAAATCTTAAATTTTGAAAATGATTGAAGAAAATTGTAGCAAGTCAATTCTATTATGACGGTTTGTTGTTTTAGGTGAAAACTTGCTTGAATCATGAATTAAGATTTTGTTTGATGATATCTATCAAGTGTTCAATTTATATGATGTTTGAAAAGAGTCCACGCTCGAATTTCAGACAATCGAACAAGATTATGCTCGTGCATTAAAGTTGTGCTTGAAACATGGAAGGATTCATTATTCTTTAATTGAAGCGAACATCAATGTAGCATATACAGGTTCTTCATAGAAGCTCTCATAGTTGTATCGCAGAAATATTCTAAGAACTAATACCGTCATTCTGAATGAAACAATAATTGGCTGAATGCCTGATTTTGAGCAAAAGAAGACAATGGTACGTTGCTCATAATTGTTCTAGATATTTGTTGTTGTCTATAATAAAGCCAAACGCAATATGTTTTATTTGTTTTTTATTAGCATAAATAAATAAGACAAA